AGTCACTGATCACCTCTACCTTCATTTCCAATGAGCGATTAATTTATCGCAATATCCGCCACTGAGATGAAGTGTCCGATATTTTTCATCGGAGATTTTGCAAAAACAAGATTTATTGCATGCGCATTGAGCACATGGATTTAATAACACAGAACAATGAAAACATTAAGTAACATCAACACAACAACCACGGACATTGAACAATGAAATGATAAGAAATGGCCAATTGAGAAAGTGAGAAAGCAAGAAAGTGAACAGCCCTAAGAATACCTAGATATGGCCTGATAAAATTGTAGAAAAAAGATATTGATTGCCCTAAGCATAGTACTTGTGCATATATGACTTCAGCTGAGCTGTGCTACTCGCGAAAGGGTACCTTTTGCTAAATTTAGCGGACTCAGAGAAGGCCCGCACAGTGAAGAATTTTGTTCTTATGGAGGACTTGGCCATAGGGAGAAGAGGTTTTAGCCTCTCTCCTCTAGTAGTGGACGGGAGAAGGGTGATGAAAGCTTGCCTATCAACAGCCATGCTCCCTGTGATGATTTTGAATGCTGTCAGAAGGTCGAATTTCCTTCTACTACATTAGAGACTCAAGGCCAAGCATTTTATTTTCCAATATTTTTCATCGAAGATTTTGCAAAAACAAGATTTATTGCATGCGCATTGAGCACATGGATTTAATAACACAGAACAATGAAAACATTAAGTAACATCAACACAACAACCATGGACATTGTACAATGAAATGATAAGAAATGGCCAATTGAGAAAGTGAGAAAGCAAGAAAGTGAACAGCCCCAAGAATAGATATGGCCTGATAAAATTGTAGAAAAAAGATATTGATTGCCCTAAGCATAGTACTTGTGCATATATGACTTCAGCTGAGCTGTGCTACTCGCGAAAGGGTACTTTTTGCTAAATTTAGCGAACTCAGAGAAGGCCCGCACAGTGAAGAATTTTGCTCTTATGGAGGACTTGGCCATAGGGAGAAGAGGTTTTAGCCTCTCTCCTCTAGTAGTGGACGGGAGAAGGGTAATGAAAGCTTGCCTATCAACAGCCATGCTAACTGAAGGTCGAATTTCCTTCTACTACATTGAAGAGACTCAAGGCCAAGCATTTTATTTTCCAATATTTTTCATCGAAGACCCTGGGAACCTTGCAAACATAAGGCTCTTACGCGAATTACAGTAAATAGCAAATGAAGTTCTATAGATCCAGAGGAGCTCATAAATTGAATTTAAAATCAAAACAACGACGGCCAGGATTGGCGGCAGAAGTTTGGTTATAGCGCTGTTCATAGTATTCAGCCATTTTCTTTTCCCATTTACGCCTCTACACTACTTCCCTTCTGTTCGAGCCACATTAGTTTTGAGCGGGGTATCTGGTAGTCTTTTATCTTTCGGCATTTATATGACACTAACGCAAACGACGAGCCCGATCGCAACCTTTTCGCCATTATCGTAAAGCGATGGGGGGAAGAATTCCACTATTAGTCGTGCTACATGGCTCAAGTTGCTTTTTGATAAAAGATAAGGAGCGCGCTTATGTGGAAATGCAAGCACATCTTAACCGCCCCTGATAAAAACCTCTGTCGTTGTCACTTGATATTTGGCGTTTCCACCGCCGTCGTACGTGCCCAATTTTCTGGACAGCTCTTTTATCAGTACATTTCCCAGCAGCAACCAACTTTTTGTCACCTAGACGAGTCATTTTTTTCAATTCAATGCAGTGCATACTAATTCCACTGATAGGGTACGCCATATCATCGCTTTGCATAGCAGACACATTTACGAAAAAAATTATCTTTGCAAAGTGATCATTTCTTCCCCTTTTGCTCCCTCTCCTGTTTCAGTTTCCTTCGGCCATTACGATCGGCGACGTGGTTTTTTTTATTAAGAATGTAGCTCACTTACCAGCGCCTGCCTACTTACTACCTACGATCAACATGTCGAACTCTTACCGAATTTGAACCACTGCCAACTTCAGCAATGAGCAGAACATCTCTAGAAATTTTCTACGCTAGGATTGCCATTATTGGAAGATTTTTTTTGTTTCTCAAAAATTCTTGTCCCAGCAGCTTCGGCTCTCGAATTGGGCTAGACACCACCTCTGTGACACTGCTGGGCTGCAGTTTTGCGTGCTCAATTTGATGGAGATTTCAGAATGTTCACATACGAATATGGAGCTTCTTGGGGTGAAACACAGCTCAACGATCCCAGGACACACCATACGGTGATCCCAAGCTTGTGACATCCTTCAGCAGCGAGGCATAACGCAGTGGGCAACTGCTAAGCAATCACTTATCACTACGGCGTGCCGGTACAATACGGATTATAACGTACACTACGGACGGTTTTGTGAACGACACGAATAGATTCCAGTGTTTTACAACTTCTCATCACACCTTATTCGCGTCATTTCTCCGATAATATAGCTGGGGGGGGGGGGGTTGGAGGGTTTAAGGAAAGGTTCTGTGGATCATGTTCGCAACTTCAGGAAGAAATTCTTTCGTTTAGTCTCCGTCTAGGGGCACCTGTGAAACGGAGACTAAACTACTCTTTCGAATCTCACCCCTTAATAAAATTCGCAAAAAAACAAACAATAAAATTTTGATAAAATTACAAATGATGGTTTTAGCTTCCAAGAAAACCCTTCAAATAAAACGTTTCATTCATATTCTAAACAAGTAATTCCATTGTAGCAAAGGTTCTTAATATAAGAAAATTTGCGGAATGCTGAAAATTTTTGTGCACGATGAGAACATGAGAATTCAGAAGATTGTCTCTATTGTTACCGCTTCAGCCTATATATATATACCAGGCGCACATAACCTCCCTTTCAAAAAGCGAGAAAGTGTCGGGTGCAGACCAAACACCACAACTGACGACGGCCTCCAAGTAAATCTGGTTAGAAGTTGTTCATAGTGATAGCTGATTTCTGGTAAATGATAGTTGTAATTAGTGACAACTGATAGAATACAACTGCAACAGGCTAATCATTTCATTGGCAGAAAACATTACATTTTGTGAAGGCCGTCGTCACTTGTGGTGCATGGTCTGCACCCGACACTTTCTCGCTTTTTGAAAGGGAGGGTAATTAGTAACTCTGTCAAGACATATTTGGTAATATCTTCCTCCAATTGCTGAGGACTTTTTCCGGGTAGAAGTAAAGTAAAGGGTTTTAAGTGGAATACCGGTAGCACTGTCCAGAAAGGACAGAATGGGATTAGGGTTCCGGCACTAGTTTTGTGCGTACCTTGAAATTTGACCAACACGATCGTTGATTCTTTCTTCATCAAAATGGCTTGTCAGCGCTATGAAGTGATAGCGATACACTTTTTGTACAACTGCTGGTCCGTACTACTCCCGAAACCATTTCTACTATACCTTCGCTCCAAAGTGCCACTCTAGAGTATCCCATTCATGCATAAAATGACGCCGAATTTTTTTAAGGATTACTGGCGTAAACACCAAGTTGCTCTCTGCAGTACTCCGATCCTATTAATCATTCTAGTGATATTTTTATCACTCTCTATGGATATCTGGCGTTGATTCTAACCGAAGTAAATGTGATTGGTTTTAATAATGATCGATTTGATTTTATACTTTTCAGGATGGCTGCTACTGCCGAATGGAGTGAGTTATCCTTTACAGTCTTTTCAATAATTTACCATTATACCGTTCCAATTGTTACCCTTCTGAACGAGCGAACGCTTGTACGAATCACATTTTTCACTTTTGATCTCATGCCTTTTCAGAGATGGTTACTACAGCTGAATGGAGTGAGTTACAGCTTTACAAGTGAATTTTCCCACAAGACTGGTAACTGAGTGAGTAGCCGTGACAGAGTACGTCATGGGAGACGGTCAATTCAATCGTCGGCGTCACGCCGCTCACACGGCGGGCAGCATTGCGCGCGGCAGTTTGTGCGGCGATTTCTGTATGGACGTTAGCTTCTACAATTCGTTCGTATGTTGAAGGTGGAGTTAGATGACTGATAAGACCAAAGTGCGGGACATCAGTGAGCCAGCAAGCGTCACTGTAAGATCCCTGCAGTGATTTAAGCCTCGCAGTACAAAGCTTGTACCGTGTAAAGGTTGTCCTTTTGAATTTAATTTGACTTCTTTATTAATCAGTTTCCTGAATTTCTATCAGAGAGTGATAATCTGGTTCAATCGGAAAGAATATTGCGTTCCAAGACACAGAGGAACGGTGAGGAAGGCTCTAACATAAGCATGATAGAATCGAGAAGTTCGTAAATATCGACAAAGGACAAGGAATCTGCATTTTAAGAGGACAGGTGATTGATATTGGATGTTTCATTACTGGAAACTTCATCTAATCTACATTCCCCAATGCTAGAACCCTGAATTCTACCACGCCGCCGCGCATCGCGGGCTGCGGCGGCTGGCGCGGCGACCTAGCCAACGCCACGATTGAATCGTCACGCACCCGGTGGGCTTAGCACAAATTAGTTTTCAATAAATTAGGGGTCTGGAATATTATACTGTTCTTGGCACTAAAGTACATTGGGATAGGGTAGTCGAGGGGTCGTAGGGTGAATACTGCTGGAGGAGGATGAGGAGGGAACGAGGTTGGACGAAAGTCAGCGCGACTGCTTACATTTTGAAGCGACAGTAAGCATGTTAGGTGAGATGATGACCGAAAGAAGGACTAGGAAGGGTGCTGATTTACGGTCACTTCGGGTGAGCATATCGAAATCCAACTATCCCGTCAACCAGGGTCAACCGTCACGTTGGACCAACTTCGAAAATTTTACGACCCCCCCCCAGGGTTAACCCCTCACGACCATCCTCCACCACCCTCGCCTGCCATCGCCATCATAGGGGCGATTCTACCCACCCACTTTTCCCTCCAAAATTGCCGTCGAGCGGAGGGCATATATCGAATGTGAAAATGTGGAACGGCAAAATTTTCGCACTCAAAATCCCAGCCAACAACCCTAATACGCTCTCCGTTCCATAAAAATCATCCCTTCCCTTACTGTAACATTGACGCTACCTCGCGAAATACGACCCCCTCTTTTCCACCCCCAAATACGACCCCCACCCCTCGTTGGACAAAGTCCAACGGACGGTTCGACCCTGCCGTCAACATCCTCCATCGTTGTGTCGATGTTGCCAGAACCTAGCTCATCTTGACACATTTCGAAATCCCGCCCCTAGGAATGCAAGGGGAGTACCATAAGCGATGTCAAATGATAGTAAGCTAGAGCGAGCGACACTGAAAACACTAGATGTTAAGAATAATGGTTCGGGAAAGCACCTAACAGACTCATAAGCCGTCTAAACAAGTTCCGCAGGGTTCTGAACTTATCGGTCTAATTATAAAGAACTTGAAGAGAGTGAAACGTGGCCTAACAAGGAGGTAAATATATCGTTGGGGTGCACCAAGGATCAGTCTGATCCTCCCTTCCGACACTAGATGTCCTGGTGAAGGGGCTCATGGAAGGACCACTGAAGACCATCCTCTACGCTGACGACATCGCCTGATAGCGGATAGCAGAGAGGAACTTCAAGCCAAGGTGCAGAAATGGCAGAAAGTCCTGGCAGAAGGTGGGCTCCGGCTGAATGTCAAGAAGACCAAGTTCCTGAGCTCTGAAGAGGGTGCAGAGCCGATCGTGGACGGCCATGGTGAGACCATCGAAAGAGTGGAGGACTTCCGATACCTTGGGAGCGAACTGGCTGCTGAAGGTAGTGTGGATCACCTACCAATTGACGAACAAGGGAGCAATGGGAGACATAGTTGGCCGAAAAAATTCGAGACAGGGTTCGCCTCTATACAGTGCGCCTGGAAAGTGACGCCACTTGTCACTACTCAGATAATGCTCCAGCAGAAACCACCGAGTTACGGGCCGCAGCAGTGTCGGCAGCATATGCTGCCGACACGCCCACTAGTCTCTGACTGGCTGGCTCGTGTCTGCACGCAGTAACCTTTGTGGTGGTAGCCAATCACGGACGAGTGGGCGTGTCGGCAGCATATGCTGCCGACACTGCTGCGGCCCGTAACTCGGTGGTTTCTGCTGGAGCATTATCTGAGTACGTCACCTGTGCCCATTAGAATAGGTGTGTGAAAATGGCCGAGGAACATTTTGAAACCTGTTGGAAATGAGTTTTTGACCTGTTTGCTTTTTAAACTCTCCACTCATGCTGGGGATTTCATTTCAGACGAGAGTCAGCGCATTCGGCAAGCCGAGAACCACGAAATCGGTACTCTTAACGAGAGGCATGCGGACATCATTTCTAATGTGAGCTGGTTTAGCTGTAAAAAATGTAATCACAATGAGTTAGGTGAAATTTTTTTCAAAAAGGGGGTTCCCTTCTCCTAAATGGTATGACCATGGGATTTTCAATTTGAAAGTCGATTACTACGGTGCCAACACTCACGACTGGGGCTCATAGAACAGGCCTAAAGCTTGCCAAAGAGAAGATAAGTCGAATTGATTTGTTGCCAATAAATAATTGATTTACCTTCACGTGTAGGTCCACTTCCTTCAAGCACGTCGTCGCAAGTTGGAAATGATCATTGGACAATGGTCGGGATCAGCTTGGACACACAAGGTATCGATATATATAATTCGTAACGATTGTGTCAGAACTACCACTTCAAATAGCACCGTTTCAGCCCGAGTACAGCTATGTGATGAAATCATCTCGTTATGAAGCTGAGGCTGCCCAACTTCCCAGCTTGAAGCAACAGCTAAGCACAGCCGAATCAAGGTAGCACTAAGGGTACCATATACGTATATACTAATATGTTGAAGAAAAAATCAAGCAACCTGGTAACTTAAAGGCACAGGTCAGGATTATGCGATCAAAGGGACCCGCTCAGTTGATACTATAACTCGGTCTGCAACCATAGAGGTGATGCCGCGCTCGTGACTCGAAACGCGCGGCTTTTACAACCTGGCCTAGCATTTAGGACGACGTGAGCTATGACCGCCCACCGCCGGAAGTGGTGCGTGGCTGGCATAACGCGTGAAATCAGCTGGGTTGATTGCCGTATCAGCTGCTTTCACGGAGCCAGCAATGGTTGGCATGTCCGAAAACTCGTTCGGACATGCATTCCTCCTAAGCAAACCTCCTTCACCGCTTTTGGGGAGAGAGGTTTTATTTTCGGTCATGTCGACGTTTTCTTCCGTACTTTCTTCTGCGATCCATTGCGAATCTGTGAGCTCACTTTCAAGCGCAAGAAAACCCCACTCGATCGCGACCCGTGCCTTTAAGGCCTTTAAGTTAACTATCTACATAGTCATACATACTCAACCCTGAGTGTGTATGCCTTCTTCTACGAAAAGGGGCATGACTGGACGAGTTTGTTAGTGCCACAAATGCTAGTGCCAGTTGCAACCACCTGGAGTGCGCAGGATGCAGAACTAATTCTAGCTAAATGTGTAGCAACCTAGCGTCGACTCAGAGAATTTATAGCAATTTACGTGTTGTGCCGTTAGGTTCACTGTCTGAATTCAAAAATTCGTTCATTCGATTGATTATCGAACGCGAATACCAGTCATGGTTTTTATTTTTTGTGGCAGACATGTACTCAAATTCCGTCCGCAAATTTGAATACATACGGTACCATCCAAGGTCAATGCTAAATGCGCGAAGGGGTGGAGACGGTTAAACGCAAACACCGGCTCTTGCGATGAAGATGAACCCGTTTCAGCCCCCCCTCCCTGGAGCCAAAAAAACCCTCAGTTCTCTTGAACGTATGGCGATCACGCTGACAACATAGAACTGACGCTATCGTTCTTCCAGATTCGAGGCTGCACGGCGCGAACACGTACGGCTTGATGAAGATGATCTCCTCACAAAGTTATGCGAAATTCGCATGAAAGTAAGTTGTTATTTTCTTGAGTTAGAAGTACTATTTATCAACCATACTATGAATTCTTACTTATATTAATATATAAAGATAGTGCCATATTTCTGTGAGACTCTTCCAGTGTCTCTGTTTCAGTCTCTTTTTCTCCTTTCATTCTGCTTTGACATTCTTATATTCTCTTCTATTCTTCTCAGTGCTCCAATACCTCTGATTCTTAATTTCTGAGTGTTCCTTGGTCTACCTTTTCTTTTCCAATTGACACCGTTTCCTTATCTCGTACATAAATGCTCGCTCTGGGTACTTCTGTGCCTCTGCCCCCTTATCCTCATTTTCTATCAAAAAGTCATTTTCAGTATTTCCCTGACATTTTCCCTAGATTAAACATTTGGCATTACTCAGCTCTTCGTTGCCTATTACCCCGTCTTAAGCCGCCGCTTTCTTCTCCTTCTTTGCTTCACTCCATTCATCAATGTTGGAAACCTTCCAACACACGTACTGAAAAATGAACTACGATCGAAGAAACTTCTTCATCTTCTACTGAATATCGAGAAATGGATCTGGAATCGCTTTCTACAAGAACAACCCTGAGCGTTTCCTACAGAATTTGCGTCCTTCTGATGCGGAAGTTCTGAGCAATTTTTAAAACACTCTTGAATTTCGATTTAGTCAGTGAAATGAACACAATCAGTGCCATTTTTCGACGAAAGAGTGAGCCCGCTGCCTGCTTTTTCATCCATGGAAGGGGAAAGTTGGTCACAGTGAATTTGAAGTCGTATACACGTGGTACGGAAGGGGGTGGAGTGGGGGAAAGAGGGTAAAAATTCTTTCTTCTCTCCCACGACGCACATCAGTATACCTTCCGCCACCCAGGGTGCTGCTGTTGGTGGGAGCTCCACGAAAAAATAGTTCTTAGATCCCCCCTCTTCGCCCACAAACAGAAGCAGCTTCCCTTTCATTTCTCTTCAGTCGGTCAATTGGTCAACAGCTTCTTAGTAACAGGGGCTCTCACAACCCTCAGACCCTTTCCGGAAAACGTTTCAGATAACCTCGTAATGGTCCACGATCGTCAAGCTCTCGAATCGTGCATCCAGTCCAGTTCAGTCTGCTGCAGATGTTCATGGTTTTACTTACCAAGACATCGAGATCGGATCGCGCGATACCTTTGAACCCTACCCCAGATCGGAGGACGTCGAAAAGGGGCGCTCACGGGATCTAGATTGATCTGAAGTGCGAACCCCGAGGGGTGTGCAAGAGGGAACGTCTTCTCGCCATGCATTAAATATTATATTTATTTATTTCAACGCACATCAAGAACGGCGTGGACTGAATAAAGCTCTAAGGTGAGCTGATAAAAAGATCCTTGAAGGCAAAGTTCGGGCTCAGACCCACCTAAGAAGCCCTTACCATGGCTAGAAGTGCTGGGTACGCAAGTGCAAAGGTAGCGCCACCTTTCTACATCGAAACGCGTCACTAGGACCCTAGGCGCCATGGACTTCTAACAGACTCCACCAAACTTAACATGGTCCGCCCACCGTTCGATATCTTGTCTGCGTCGCTGCGTTGATCTGCTATGCTCTCTCTTCTCGGACTTCTCTACCGCTCTCCGCGCTCACATTATCTCTCATCTCCCTGCCTGTCTTTTGAACTTCTCCACAGCATAGAGCAAAATGCTCGTATTTCCTGTGTATTTCAGGATTTTCTTTCCTTTTTTCTCCACTGGCGGTCCACCTCCCATCCCTACTTTCACATTTGAGTGGAATCAACCCATCAATTAATCCTGATTGCCTTTAAGTACCAGTTCTTGTGAATGGACAATGATCCATTAATTCGTGTCACATAACTTCTATACCGATCTAGTAATTGATCACTGAAATGGTACCGATAAAAAAGAAAAAAATTTATGTTTCAGCTGTGCATAGCAGAGGGACGCGGTAAGCGAATCGATGAAGAATGCAGGCGACTCAGGTTGGAAAACCAGAAAATCCTCGAAGATCAGGCCGCTCAGCGTTTGGTAAACATAACTGAAATTTAATTATAGGTGTGAAGCGAAAACAAATCCCAAGTTTTCAGATCATTGATCGAGAAGTTGTCGATCGAAGCGCGTACGAGCGCCGTGCTACTGATCTTCTTGCGGAATGTGAATCGCTCCTGGAATCGTGCAGAGTAAGCGACGCTATAATAATATGTGGTTGTAACAGTGCTATTCGGATAATTATTACTATCATTACGAAGGAACACATAGAACGAAATAAGCCCAGAGGATAGAAGGAATGGGGAGAGGTGTGGACGTATAGGAAACCTAGCCAATTTCCTTCTGAAGCAGTAGGTGCGATAAATTGGCTGTCGAAGAACTGAAAGATAGGGATCGTGATTGATTGGATGCGATGGTGAAGGAAAAAAAAACAAGGAAAACAGCCTGAACTCGTAAATGGGGCCCTTATTCTGTCCCTTGGTGGGAGGGCTAGCGACCGAGGCGGACTTAGTTTGAACATGTTCATCCCAGTAGCCGGCACTATCACATCAACATCATGCTTTCTTTGGAAACATGTTACAAAATAAGAGGTGGCTCAACGGGGAATACTCTCTCACAAAACCAGAAGTGAGCACAGTTTTACGAATGATGTGATACGTAATTGCTAAAAATATCACACCCGGAACTCTTTTGTTATAGCTCGGCTACCTGGAGGCGCGGTCAACCCCAGGTAAACCCTTCCTAGGCAGGTTAGGGCCTCCTTTGCTGAGACGCCACGTCTCGCTCTCTCACCTAGCTTCGCTTTACGCTAGTCAATTTCTCCTCAAAATTACGGGTGGAGTTCAAATTGGTGTGTTATTATGTTCAAAAATTAGACAAGAAATGGGATGAGGAACGTGAAAGGGAAGAAACCGCAAAAACATAGAAAACAACGAAATTTCCCTTGTGAGGTCGGCCGTGGTATGACGGAGAGACACAGCGCTGCGGGAAGAGGAAAACGCGAGAGAGTACGTGGTACGTTACAAGGTGCAAACGCCATGTTTGCGGCGCTTGATTAGAATGGCAGCTCTCGTGGCGGTTAAGCGGAATTTTCGCTCCCTTGTCGTGGACTTCTAAGCCGCTTCTGCTGAGCTTGGGGACCACTATTTTCACTCAAGGATGGACTACCTGTTGGCCGCTAATCCCAACCTGTGCCTTTGAACATCTAGTTCACAGTCCCACCTGCCTTTAAGGTCACTGCTGTTAAATATTGAGCTGTTCTCCGAAAAATTCACCCTTGCCATGGGCACTGGTCTGTTTTCTGGCTGGTCTTTGATGTGATTGAATTTCGATAGAACTGAACCTGTCGTCCCGTTGATCATCGAATTGCTCGAGCGGGCGCCAGCAACGTCTCCATTCGTCCCTGTCGCGTGCAAGAGTTGTCCAGTGGACCCTCCTCGCTCGAGGGACACGAAGTCCTTCATTCCTTTCGTTCAGAGCTTTCGTGAAGAAGTCTGACCATCGGGCCGGCGGTCGTCCAGGTGTTCGTTTGACGTCCCGAGGGATCCAGTCGGTAACCGCTCTGGTCCAACGGTCATCGCAAAATCGCATGACGTGTCCGGCCCACCTTATCTTCGATTCCTTGGCGAAAACGGCAGCGTCCCTGATCTTCGATCGTTGGCGTAGTTCGGCACTCCGGATTCCCCTCTGCACTTGCGTGTATAGGGTTACTCCTAGCATCGTCCTCTCGACAGCGCGTTGGATAACGCTGACCGCATGCTCGTCCTGCCTGCGCAGAGTCCAAGTCTCTGAGGCGTAGGTTAGGGCAGGAAGGACAGCGGAATCGAAGAGGTGGGCACGGAGCCGGATGTTCTTCGTCTTCTTCACTACTCCCTCGATGTTCTTATACGCTCCCCAAGCCGCTCGTTTCCTCCTGCTCAGCTCTGGAGCTAGATCGTTCATCATATTGATTTCCCGACCTAGGTACACGTAGCTGGGTAGAGTTCTCGCTGTGCAATGTTCACGTTCCGGTGAGAGAGCCTACGCGCTCGCACATTAGAGTGGCTATTTAACCATTAGAGTGTATGGTGTTCGTATTCCCACTTCATATATATCTTCTCCGCTCCAGGTTCTCCGCCCTATATCTCATTTACTAAAGTACACACTTCGTCATGCCTCGATGTTAGGTTTCAGCTGTTAGACGACCTTTACGGCGACAGGGCTCAGCAGCGCAATAGCTTGATCCGATGCAAGTATTCCGAAACGCCAGCATTCGCTCCGCTTGCTCGATGTTCGGCGTTATAAGAACGATGTCGTCAGCAAAACGAAGGTGGTGTAGTTGCCGGCCGTCGACCTTCACTCCCATGTCTTCCCATTCCAGTTGACGCATGACGTTCTCGAGAGCGGCGCTGAAGAGTTTGGGCGAGATGGTGTCGCCCTGTCGAACCCCTCTCTTGACGTCGATGATGACCTCCTTGTAGAATGGTGAGATTCTGGTCGTAAAGTTGCTGTAGAGCTCACGAAGAATCTTGATGTACTGAGTAGGGACGCCCTGGTTGCCCAAGGCTTCGATGACCGCTTCTGTCTCCACAGAGTCGAAGGCCTTCTTCAAGTCGATGAACGTGAGACAAAGCGGCATCTTGTACTCTCGTGAAACTTCAATGAGTCTTGTAACCGTGTGGATATGGTCGATCGTGCTGAACCCTCTTCGGAACCCTGCTTGCTCGCATGGCTGTCCTTCATCTAGTATTCTGCCGATCCTGTTAAGGATGACTCGAGTGAATAGCTTGTAGATTACAGACAGCAGGCAGATTGGGCGATAGTTGCCAATGTCGTCCAGGTCTCCCTTCTTGTACAGCAACACGGTCCTGCTGGTTTTCCACGGAGTGGGTACCTTGCATTCCGACAGGTAGCGCGTGAAGAGTCGAGCCAGAGTTTTGATGATGACTGGCGGCGCATTCTTCAGATGTTCCGGTTTGACCCTGTCGAGACCGGGTGCTGTACGATTCTTCACCGACTTGATGGCGTGTCGGACTTCGGAAGAGAGAACTGAGGGGACGACGTATCCATCCTGTTGCAGTTGATAAGTGGGCAGATGGACATGGCTATCGAAGAGATCCGAGTAGAAGTCGTGGATGACTTTCTCCATTGCCCTTCGGGATGCAGTAACTGTTCCATCCGGACGTCGGAGGCAGGTCATCTTGGTCTTGTAGCTGGCAAAGCTTCGGCGGGCATTGCGGATGCTCCTCCCAGCCTCTGCTGCTTCAGCTAATACTGCTGCTCTTCGCTCCTTGAGATCTTCCTTTATCGCCTCTCTGCATAGCTTCGCAAGCTCGGACGTGAGTCGGTGATTGCCTGCAGCTCGTGCGGCTCCACGTTGGCGTATCAGCTCGAGAGTTTCCGTAGACAGACGTCCTTTGGTGACTTGCAAACTCTCTGCCTTCCTGCCACTCTCGTGAAGGTGTTCAACGAGCCGATGATATTCCTCGTCGATGTTCTCGATAACGGAATCCTCCCATAAGCTGACAAGAGAAGTGAAGTGATCCCAGTTGATGACTGTCCTGGGGCTTCGCTTCCTGAACTTCGAGGCTCTCTCAACACGCATCGAAAAGTGGAACTTTGCGCGGAGGAGACGATGGTCCGATCCCGTGTAGAACTTCGGAACAACAGCGACGTCGGTCAGGCAAAACCTTCGATTGAAGATGATGTGGTCTATCTCGTTATGGAACTGTCCATCAGGTGACTCCCAAGTCCAACGAAGGTGAGAGGGCTTCTGGAACTGCGAGTTACCATGGATGGTGTTGGTCGACATGATAAACTCAGACAGTCTTTCGCCCTGCTCATTCCAATCCATTCCGTGAGTACCGATGTGAAGTTCTTCAGCCGTTCTTCTCGGGCCAATCTTGGCGTTGAAGTCGCCGACGATGACCTTGAAGAAGGTATGGTCTTCCTTGTAGAACTTCTCCAATTCCATATAAAATGCTTCGTGTTCCTCCTCGTCGTAGCTCGATGTTGGTGCGTAGGCGACGAAGATTGTCAAAGCAGGAGTTGAACCACATCTTCTCAATCTCAAACGTCCGATTCGGGTCGTAAGGCTTTCGTACGAATCGATGTTTATGGCCAAGTGCGTGTTGACGAGGACACCCACACCGCCAACGCCTCTGCTGTCGCATGTTCCAAGGAACAGTTCTTCTCCAGTATCGAAAACGGCGTGTAGCGGGCGGTGCCTTCTCGTCTCGGTCAGTCCGATGACGTCGTACTTGATCTTCCTGGCCTGCATCATCAGATCTTCGATGTGAGCTTCGGATGCAAGCGTTCGTGCGTTGAAAGTACAGATCGCCATCTTAGTCCTTCTTCGTTTAGGCAGCCTATCCGGGCCCTGAGATTCTAGCAGCCTCTCCCGAGCGGTCCTACCCAACGCTGCCGTATTGGGGGCTCCCTCAGGTTCAGGGGAATGAGGCCCATCCATATTGCTGTTTCGGCATATTGAAGGCACGCGTAGGCGGCCCCGAATCGCCTCCCATGTACTTCCCAGTCACTTGAATGCAAGCTTTTGGCTGTGCCGACATGCAGGATACCAACCGCACACACACACACACACACCACACACGCAAGCATGCATGGATGCGCCTGAGTGGAGAGCTGGTATGAATCAACACAGCACTACAGAAACAGGGAGTCCATCCCCTGAATCCACCTGCGTCTCAGGGCAAGTACATGGTGGCTTTTGGTCCGCGATTTACCCCCTATCCGCCACCTGGGGTCGCGCCACGTAGCCTCGCCACCAACCGGCTCGAGATCTTTCAGTGAGAGAGGACCCTCAGTGAAAGAGATCCGTGGAGAACTTGCTAGAACTGAAATCTCGATCAGCAATCAGGTGGAGACAACCCTTACAAGTATTCCCCAAGAACTGCGAATTTCTTGCCTAAATGCAGTATTCCAAGTGTTACACTGTAAACTACAGATGGAAAGAATTTTAGATTCAAGGCGTTAGGAGCTACTCATTCGACGACATCGAAAGCGATCGTAAGCTTTTCCGTGGTGCTATTGATTCCGCAATGGTCGACATTCGAAGGCAGTACGAGAACGTGAGGAATGATGAGCTGGTAGCTTTTGTGAAATCTTAAGTGAATACTTGTTTCCAGTTGGCTAGTACAGTAAACACGGAGATGAAGCAGTGGTATGATCAGAGGATCACGCAAGTTGCCGTTAGGTCCATTACCGACACCACTTCACAGAAGGCGAGTTAACGTGCTCTTTTTACGAGATTTCTTTTTATCAGAAACAGAATTTGAATGAAAAAATAACACAATTTTTGCATATTACCTTTTCAGGAGAGACTGGCGTTGTTGCGAGCGGAGCTCATAGACGTTCGAACAAAACTTAACAACCTGGAAAATCGCGTATGTTTCTCAATGATGAGCATTAATTCCACTACATGGATGAATTTTTCAATCAATAATCGCAGAGAGTAGAATCAAGTTATTCCATTTGCTTACACCTG